TAAAAGGTTTTGAAATCATGCCGTTGTTAATTATGCAGCTTTGTATGTTTTTGTAGAACAGTTTTACCCATCGGAGAAAGTCGGAACCAAAATTAAAAGCTTCAAGGCATTTAAAAAGGAAAAATAAATGAACATTCCTTTTTAAAAAAAAGGAATGTTCATTACATTTTGTGATGAAACATTTTTATATACAAGTTATTGCATATGTACATATATGTATATGTTTAGCCAGCATAAAGCATGGGGAAACAAGTGTTAGCAGGCCACAACTGGCTTCCAATGCTTTATGCTGGCTAAACATATTTCTTTGCACTCTTGAATGGCTCTCTGGATTGACTGCATCCCATGACCACTGATTGGCCAAAGTAATTACATAGGTTTACATGTAGGTTTTAAGGCACTCTATCACTCTAAGCGTATTTAACAAGCATGATAATAACTAGAACTGTTTTTATTAAATGCACTGCTCAGTTGTTCTGAAATACGCATGTAAGTACACACTATTTTGCCATGTGTCATTACTTTGCACAGAGTTCTGCATACCCAGTGTACCCACATAATAATTCTCACCTTCTAGGTACAAATTCCTTATGCTTTGACAGAATGGCTTCATAAACGTGGAAAAATGAGGTTTTCCTTTCCCAAACCATATTCCAGCAAACAGTCTATTTGACCTGCTGAACCTATAAGAAAAGTAATTAATAATATGGAACATTTATAGACATGTGCATGTTGTTGATGGATCACATTAATAGGAGTCAGCCTCTGTGTTCACTAAAGGAGCTTTTGGGGCAGCAGGAATGGTGTAGTGGTGAGAGCACTTGCCATCTACCATTGCAGCACAGGCTTGATTCCTGAACAAAGGGTTATTATTTCTTCCAAAAAGCTTGCTTGGTTAACTAATTATTTTAAACTAATGAACACAGAGCTGATCTCAATCATTAAGTCAATTACACCTTATGTAACTTTGCATTTATTTATTCATTTACCTTTCTCTGGGTGGTAGCTCATTTATGACACAATAAACCGGCCACACTCCTGCCCTTGTTGATCTGACCAATGCCACCCCATCTGTATTTCCCAGCAACGAGATGTTATCTGGACTGCTTAAGAAACCATTATCAGCAGACAACCTTTTATAAAGGTGTCCATCATAGACATTCTCAATGGCAGTCTCGCTTTTCTTTTGTCTATTGAATCTGTACTCAAGTTTCTCCATGACACCAGGCCCTATAAGAAGGTTACTGGCAATTACATGTACA